GGCTCGGACTCATGAACCGGTGAGGTCATGACCTGAGCCGAAGTCAGACGCTTAACCGACTGAGCCACCAGGTGCCCCTGTCCAGCCTCTTTTCTAAGAATTCTTTAATCCCTTTAAGAGCCCCTGACCCAGGGTGTTCTGTTCTCCCCTGACCTCCAGACCTGTGTTATCTGTCTGCATCTTTACCACCTCCACTTAAAGGTCCAATGGGCATCTCAAATCCAGCATAACCAGCTGAACTCCTGACAGCCCCACCAAATCTTGCTGTTTCTTCCACTTCAGTAAATGGCAATTCCACCTCTGCCATGGATCACCCTGGACTCCTCCTGATCTCATCTCTCACATCCAATGCATCCACAAACTCTAGTGGCTCCACCTTCAAAATACTTCCAAAACCTCCTCCCTTCTCTCCACCGCCACTGCCACCATCCTGGTCGAGCCACCACCACCTACTGCCTGGATTGGTACAATGGCCCCCTAACGCGTTTCCTGGGTCTCTCTCTTGACTCTCATCAAAATCTATTCTCTGTACAGCAGTCGGAGTAATCTAGTTCAGGTGTAAACCAGACTATGTCCCTCTTGTGTTCAAAACCTTGCAAAGGCTCCCATCTCACTCAGGATAAAAGCCCGTAAGGCCCACATGCTCACCAGGATCCCCCTATTGCCTTGTCTGATCATATCATCTCCCACCCTCCTCCTCACTTATTCAGCTCCAGCCACTCTACCTCCTTGCTGTTCCTGGAATAAACCCAGCATACTCCCACCTCAGGGCCTTTGTACTTGCGGATAGCTCCTCCCGGAATACTCTTCCCCAAAGTAGCAGCATGACTCATTCCCTCACCTCCTTAGGTCTCTGCTCATATGGCACCTCTTCCCAGAGCTCTTCCCCAAGTACCATATACAAAATGGCAAAACCTCCCGTCTCTCTGCGCTTAACATCCTGAAAAAAGTACGTGTCCAAAACAGTGCCCACACAGTGCCTGACACATAGTGGATGCTCAAAAAAAGACTTGAACAGATGAATGAACAAACAAACGAACGAATACCTGGCGATTGGCAGGAGGTGGGGCCTGCTGGACTGCTGTGGGTGCTGCTGAAGGCGTGTAGATGCTATTGGTGGCCAGTGAGACTGTGGCCAGGGGTGGGGCATTCCCCTGGCACTGTTCCCGCTTGTGGGTCATAAATGCTGGCAGCGAGTTGAACTGCTTCTTACACTTCCCGCAGAGAAAGACATCCTCATCATCTAGGGGTCACATCCATACAGTAGCAGAGGGAGAGGAACAATGATAAAAGGGAAGATAAATGAGAGGGCATCACAATAAGAAACAGGACAAAACCTGCGGCTGGACCATAAGCATGGCAAACCTAACAGCAACCCATGACTCAGTGTGCGTGTAACAAATGTCAAGATTGTGCTTTCTGGGAGATTTCAAAACCACATAGGCACCTGCAGGAACATCCAGCCACAACTACCCAGGTATCAAAAAATCAGAAATCAAGAAATAGTAGAGTGGGTGCACTTCAAAGTTGAGATATTTGGAATCTTTATCCTGCCTGAGTTTGTTCACCAGTCCCCAAATGGCCTATATGACTTTCTATGTCTCCGCAGGCCCTGTTCTCTCTGCCAAGCTGCTTCTCTCAGAACAACTCATTCTGCAAGATTCTGCTCAAATGTCAGGAAGCCTTCCTAAAGCTAGTCACCACAGCTCCTCGCATATCACACTTTTCCCAGCACCACCAGACTATGAGTCCCCTGAAAGGGAGGAAATAAGTCTTACTTACTACCAGAACTGCAATAATCCTGGCATATTTGTTGAATGAGTGGAAGACTAAATGAATGATTAGCTATAGCTGACACCACCCATTGAGGGTCTACCACAGGCCATGCACTGTGCCAAGCACTTGACATGTTATGGCAGGAATGTCTATTTGTCATTCAGTATTTACTCTTCCTTCTTAGACAGTAATACAAATTTTAGTGGGAAACATGACCATCTCATTAAAGACTGTATTTCCCAGCCTTTACAGCTAAACATGTCATGTGACCAAATTCTGACCAATAGGACAAGGGCAACAGTATACTGCCTATGCAACTTCTTTTTTTTTTTTTTCTTTTTTTAAAAGTAGGCTTCATGCCCAGTGGGGGCCTGAACCCAGGACCCTGAGATCAAGACCTGAGCTGAGATCAAGAGTCGGGCACTTAAGTGACTGAGGCACCCAAGCGCCCCTATGCAACTTCCTTTTAAAAGGAAGTTCTTTCTTCCCTTTGTGTTGGCTACAATGTGGAAATGAAAGTGAAAAGCTGGAGCAGCCAACATAGACTGCAGATAGAGGGCAACAGAACCAAAAGAAAAAAGGGTCTGAGTCTCACCATCCCCACCCCAAATGCACATCAGGACTTCATGTAACAGAGAAATAAACTTTCATCTGTACAAACCACAAGAAACTCATGTTTCTTATTTACAACTGCTGAAGGTAAATCCCAAGTGTCCTCACAAGGCTTCTACGAGGCAAGGCTATTATCCTCACTTTACAGATGTGGAAACTGGGGCACAGAGAAGCTAACCTACTTGTGTCCAAGGTCATAGAGCCAGGAACTATGGGAATAAGGATTCAAACCCAGGTGGGCATCTCTCTGTGCCCAGAATGGTTCCCAAGTATTCAAAACTGTTTGTGGAATGAATAAATACACAGATTCACACAGGGCTTTAAAGTTCCTTACTTTCTCTCTCTGTCTCAGGGGCCTGGCCAGTAAACTGGAGATTCATGCTCAGCCTGTTCTTTCCATAGAAGGGAGGCTGAGAAATAACTTCTGGGTCAAAGGTACAACCACTGCCAAGCTCCATTGCCTAGACCTTCCCTATGTCACAATCCCCACGTTCACTAAATGATTGAGAAAGCGTGTCCTCATTGCTAAGCAGAGAAAAGCATGAGCCTGAAAATCCAGGCTGGGAGAGGGGAGAGGGTTCAGATACCAGAGGACCACAGTAGGCAATTCATTCCCATACGCTCTCAGGAGCCCCACCTGTTTTTCACAGGGAGTTACTCACCCTTCCCACTGGTGAACCTGAGCAGATACTCACCCAGTGGCTGGATAGTAGGAGGTGCATTGACACTCTGGCCTGTTGGATCAGGGACTGCTCCTTGGCCATCCAACAATGACTGGACCGCCAGGACAGTCTGATTGTCCATTCCTGAAAAACAGCAACAACAAAACGGTGTCTCTGACTTCACCCTTACAAGCCAGACCCAATGCAAGGCCTCTGTGGCAAAGACAGTTGGCTGTGCCCCGATGCACATTCTCTCCTACTTCCACTGCAGTAGAACCCAAGGTTTTTGGCTGATAATATGGCCCCACAATAAAGATCACACTTCCCAGCTGCTCTTGCAGCTACAGAATGTCTAAATTCTGGACAATGGGATATAAGGAAAGGTGTTCTATGGCAGCATCTAGAAAGTTTTCTTAAAACTGCCTGGCACATGATGTCCTTCTCTTCCCCATCCTCCATCCTGCTTCCTAGAACAAGAATACGATAGTGAATAATCTAGCCACCATCCCAGATCATGAGGACAAGGGTGATACCCTAGGGATTGCAGGGCAAAAAGCTGGAAACGATCCTGGGCCTCTGGGAACCTTGTAGGACACAGCCACCTTTGTAGCTCTGGACCGTCTTCCTCTGGACTCCCGTATGAGAGAAATAAAGAAATAAACTACTAGCCTGTTTAAGCCACTACTAGATTGGGCTTCTCTCTTCCTCTTGGAGAGTCTGATCCTAAATCACATAGCCCCTCCACAAATCATGTTACCAAGTCCTCCCCACCCTATTCCACCCACCCCACAACAAATTTATTTGTGCACTTGGCCATCCTTGCTTCCCTTGTTTTCCAACATGTGCTTGTCTTTTCAGTTCCTCAGTAACCAGTGTAATCTGAACTGATGGTGGGGACACCCGTGAGAAGCCGAGTGCTTCCATGTTTTCCAATCCGTTGTCACTGCCGAGGTTCACGGTAGAACATTATCTAGCCATGTCCCCAGCTGGAGGACAGGTGTTCTCACATCGAAGTGGCCACCAAAGCACATTACCTCCCTCTCCAAAAAACCCAGAGAGTGCCTCCTTCTCTCTGTCCCCACAGCCAGTGCTCTGCTTCCAACCTCTCAGCTTTTACCTGGACCCCTGCCCCAGCTTCTAAAGGCAATGCAAATTAGAACCATTAGTTCCTGCAGCCAAGGTGAATTCATATTTTCTCTTGTCACAATGCTTGCTGTGTCTTTCCTGAGACCAGCTCTTCCCTACAACCCCTCCTACTCCCTCAGAAACCACTCTCCACCAACTGGTCCCTTGTTTCACAGTATGCCAGCAACCTTTCCTTCCCATCAACAGCTACACACGCTCAGGTCTCTCTAGAATGCCCTCTCTTGAACCTATATTCCTATCTCTCCTTCCTTCAACATCAAGCATCCCTCCATCTCCTCTGCCCACCTCCCGATACTCCTCCACCCACTTCGTGAGGCTCTGACCCCCAGCATTCCACAAAAATCACCAAAGAAACCTGTCAGCATTGGATGTTCCTTCCTTGAAACACTCCCTTCTCCTGCTCTAGGATACCCCCCTCCTGGGTCTTCTCCCACCTTTGCTCACTCCTTCCCAGACTCCTTTGCTCTTTTCTGTCGGTCCCCTAAAGTTTCTATTTTGAAAGGTTCCTTCTGTCTGGATTCTCTCTCCTTTCCCTCTTACACTCTCCCTGGGGAGACTCACTCACCCCCCCCATCTAGTTGTCCCCCAAATCTGGAGTCTCAAACCTGGGGTTTGCTCCCCTGGATGAGCTTCAGTAAATCCATTTTATGCAAGATTGTGAGTATATTAGCATTTGTATTCAAACCTGCACATGAGCATTCATACTACTATTTATTCATAATAGTAAAAAACTGGAAACTCAGATGTCCTTCAACGGGTGAATGGTTAAACACACTGGTATATCCCACTGTGGAATATGACTCAGCAATAAAAAGGAACACACTAGTGACATACACAATAACTTGGGTGACTCTCCAGGGAATTATAAGTGAAAAAAGCCAATCTCAAAGGTCATATACTATATGATCCCATTTACATAACATTCTTGAAAAGACAAAAATTTTAGAACTGAAGAACAGATCAGTGGTGGACAGACATCAGAGATGAGGGGAGAGGGGAAAGAGGTGGGTGTGGCTATAAATGGGCAACACCTGACAGTGAGGGAACTGTTCTGCATGTTGTGTTATAAAATAGTTTTGCACAATGTTACATTGAGGGAAACCAGTAAAGAGTACATGGAATCTCTCTATATTATTTCTTACAACCACATGCGAATTTATGAAAAAAAAAAAAAAAGAATGATTTCAAAATAAAATATTTTATTTAAAAAATACTGCCTGGGAGTGCCTGGGTGGCTCAGCTGGTTAAACGTCCGACTTCAGCTCAGGTGGTGATCTCACAGTTTGGGAGTTGGAGCCGCACATTAGGCTCTGTGCTTTTCTGATCCTGTCTCCCTCTCTCTGTGCCTCCCCCACTCACGCACGCTCTCTCTCAAAAACAAACAAATATTTTAAAAACATAAATATAAATATAAAAAATACTGCCTGTCAGGGTGCCTGGGTTGCTCAGTCAGTTGAGTGTCCGACTCCTGATTTCAGCTCAGAACATGATCCCAGGGTCATGGGATTGAGCCCCACATGGGGCTCCTCACTGAGTATGGAGCCTGCTTAAGATTCTCTCTCTCTCTCTCTCTCTCTCTCTCTGTCCCTCTTCCCTGCTTGCTCTTTCTCTGAAATAAAAAATAAAAAGTTTAAAAATAAATAAATAGGAGTCCCTGGGTGGCTCAGTTGGTTAAGCGTCTGACTTTGGCTCAGGTCATAATCTCACAGTTTGTGGGTTCGAGCCCCGCACTGGGCTCTGTGCTGACAGCTCAGAGCCTGGAGCCTGCTTCTTAGAGTCTGTGTCTCCCTCTCTCTCTACCCCTCCCCTACTCGCTCTCTCAAAAATAAATAAAGCTTAAAAAATTTTTTTTAAATAAATAAGTAAATGAATAATACTGCCTGCCAGACACTTGATCTTAGCCAAAAGGCTGAGAAGAGATTCAGAACTATGGAGACAATCGAAAGATCGGTGATACCCAGAGGCTTACAGGGACACAAGATCTTTAAAGCAGTGAAAGTCCTCTGTGATGCCACTGTGATGACGGATATATGTTATTACACACTTGTCCACCAGAATGTGCACCACCAAGAGTGAACCTTAAGGGGCGCCTGGGTGGCTCAGTCGGTTAAGCGTCCGACTTCGGCTCAGGTCATGGTCTCGCGGTCCGTGGGTTGGAGCCCCGCCTCAGGCTCTGTGCTGACAGCTCAGAGCCTGTTTCAGATTCTGTGTCTCCCTCTTTCTCTGACCCTCCCCTGTTCACGCTCTCTGTCTAAAAAATAAATAAATGTTAAACAAAAAAAAAAAATGTTAAGAGTGAACCTTAAGACAAACCATGGACTTGGGTGATTACGATGGGTCAATGTGGATTCATCCTTGGCAGCAAATGTACCATTCTGGCGAATTACGTGGAGAATGGGGGAGGCTAGTCATGTGTGAGATCAGAGGGTACACAGGAAATCTCTGTACCTGCCTCTCAACTTAGTTGTGAACCTAAGACTGCTAAAAATGAAAAAGGTTTTTTTTTTTTTTTAAATACTGCCCATCTAAAATGGAAATCAAGCTAAATGTGACACTCTCACCCCTCAATTTTCCCTCTTCCAATAATCCTCATAAGCAAGAACAGGTACCACCATTCACCCAGCCACAGCCCCCGGAGCACCCCTTCGCTCTTTCCCCAACCTATTTCCCGGCCCTCTTCTCATTTCTAGTCCCTCAGCAAATCTGGCCTATTCTGCTCCCACTGCCTCTCTCAGATCCACTTTCTTCCATCTGAGAGGCTGTCCCCCCTGGGGCCCAGGCCACCATCGGTTCTCAGCAGGACAACTGCAGCTACTTCACTCACCTCCCAGCTGCCACTCTGCCCCCTCCAGTGTGTTCTCAGAGCAGCCTGAGTGAACTTTATAAAACATACATCAGATTGTGTTGCTCCCCTGCTGAAAACCCTTTCTTGGTTCCACACTGATTCCAAGATAAAGTTCAGAAGTCTCATTTCTAGCTCCTTGTTCACACGAACTTCTGTGAATCCTAGAAGACCTCTCTTCCTCCCAGGGCTTTGCAAATGCAGTTCCTACTGTCTGGGTCACCTCTGGATCCCCACAGTTCTGCTGTCCTTGCCCAAGCCCAGCATGTACCACACTGTTCTAGGAACTGATTTTTCTTCTAATTTCCTCATCACTCAGTACATGAACAAATTCAAACATCTAGGACGTCCATGAAACCTAAAGAGAAAGTAGGCCTCACCCCATTCTGTTGGTCTCCCAGATCCTGACACTGACCCTGGCCCTCCACATCCATCACCCACATCAGCACTAAATGCCAGCTAAGATAATCTTTTATGGCTTAACTTTTCTATAATTCTAGAATTACAATATTTGCTTGTTCTATAATTTCTTTATGCCTCCTCCTGCCCCCCACTGTGGGGCAGGAAATGTGTTTGGCTCAGTGAGTATTCTTGAAATAGAAACTCTCCAGATGGGGTGAGGGTACCTACATTTTATGGTGAGAACTCTGATCCCCCAAGAAGTGAAGGGACATCATAGAGATCTCCTAAGGGGCTCAGTCTCAGCTACATACCACTAGTCGGGCCAACTTTCAGTCTGCACCCTAATTATGTGCACACTGATCTTATCACACCTCTCCAAGAACATTCACACCTCTCCAGTCTGTATCCCCCCCTGTATCTACTCTGCACCACGGCCCTGAAGCCAGTAAGGCTCCTTCCCACCCACCCATGTCCAGGAGTGCATATGGAGGCCTTCAGTGTTTTCTGTCTCCAAAACCCACAGTTCCCTGGGTCTGAGACCCACCTCCATGTTAGGAACCTGCAAAGCACAGGACCATCAGTTGGTGCCCAGGGTTTATAGGTTTCCGTCTGAGGGCACTGTGTTCCAGCCAAGCACACCGTTGACACCCATATACTCATCGTTTCTTGGTCTGAGTTTATAAAATTCAGCACCCCAGCACAGCGCACAAAGTAGGCACCTAGTGTTTGTTGTTTTGGGTCTGTGAGCACGAAGTCCTGGCCTTGCGCACAGGTAGCACCTATCCCTTCCAGGTCTGATTTTGAGACTATGTCAGGGAACGAGGCACAGTTGGCGCTCAAGGCAAGTTCTTCGTGGTCAGGACTCCTGGCTCGGCTGCTTCGGCCCCCACGCCCCTCCCGCCCTCGAACCATTGTCCCCCCGGGAGCGGCACCCTTCGTCGAGCTCTTCCAGGCCTGGCGGGTGCGCGGGCTCCCCGGCTGTTCCCTCCAGGAAATCCCTCCCGCGCCGGCCCGAGGCCCTCGCGGGTGGACGCTGTTCCTGTCCGAGGCCTCCCCCACGACCAAGGCCCCGGCCATGCCTCCCCGGCAGCTCTGCCCCGTGCTCGCCCCCAGGGCGTTCCCTCCCCGCTCTTCCTGTCCCGTTGTCCCCCCAGCGCTGAGCCTCGGCTCCCGCGGCTGTTCTGCTCCGATGCCCCCGCCCCCCGCCACTGTGCCCTAGCTCTGCCGCTGTTCCGGTTCCGTTGCCCACCCCCCCACCGCCGGGCCTCGGCTCCCGCGGCTGTTCC